AAGTTGTAAAGATGGTTGAGGTTGCTGTGTATAATGATGTTTTAATATTTTTATTTTTTTTTGCTGTATATATCGTGGCATTGTTCCTTGGAAGGAACACTGTTAATTGTATCTTGTATATCAATGTTAATTATTAAATGATTTTACTTAGTATATTTGAGTTTTTACATTCCCTTGTTATGTTGAGGTTTGTCTTGTTTGAATTGTTGTGCTTTGATTCCATGCTGACCTCCTCTTAGAAATATAGAAAATTTGGACTCCCGTTGTTCAATCCTAAACGATACACGCTTCCAATGACACCTAGTAATCGTTTGCCCCGTCGATTGGCCGTTTGCCGTTATCTTTCTTTGAGGGGCGGTTTGACCCGGACGAGTGAACAAAATTGGAGGGGTGGTTTTAAAAAACAAGAAAAATGGTTGATGTAAGAAGTGGTGGGTTCAAATAGTATTTTCCATTATTTTGGGGTATATAATATAATAATAAAAAAAAAAGAGAAAGGGCGATATGGTAATTAACCACATTATCCGTCCCAAACAACCCAACCTTTCGTGAGATTAACACACCTAGTTTCAATCCCATAGACTCGAATCCCACCAACCAAAACCGAGATCCCATCCAACTAACACCAATCCATACAGTAGAATTTGAAAAAGAACCCCAAATCCCATCCCATCCCATCAACCCAACCAAAAGGGGCCTCAATGTATTAAGGGTAAATAACACTTTACCCCGGTGGTTTCAACTAGTTGTACTTAACCCCATGTCATATCAATTTAGGCCTTGAACCCCCTGTGGTTTGCACAATGTAGCGACCGTCAGTCTAGTTGTTAAAGGTTAACAGAGTGTACATCTCACTCACTCGGAAAATGAATTTGTTGAGTTTTTTTAACCATAAATTAATATTTTTACACCATTTGAATTAGAAAATTCGAAAATTAGAGATTCACCTCAGTCATAAGCCCTGAATTGAAGTTTATAAAATTTTCAATTAAGTCCTTAACATTTTTAAAAACCCCTCTTCTCCAAAATCAACCAAAATCATCATCGCAATTATCTTCATCTTCTCTTTCCCCTCGAGCCAATGAGAAGATGAGGATTTATGGAAGAGCGCCTATTCGCAGAGCAATTGCTGCTCATTCTTTAGCTGATCCGTTCTCTTTCTCTTGTTTAAATTATCATAGCGTGCGCCACAAAGATACACTTTTTTCACCTAATTTCAAAAGAGATTTGATCTGTGAAAGCGAAGTAGATGAAGCTATTTTCTTGTTTCGCAAAATGTTGAGAATGCGGCGGCAGCCCTTCGTTTTTGAATTCACCAAACAATTGCAAGTTATTGTCAATTTGAAGCAATACTCGGTTGCCCTTCAACTGTTCGATGAAATGCGTCAATCAGCTGCCTGATACGCGTAAAACCTACGTATAAATAACCGCAAGTGTACAGTATCGCGTTTTGCAGAATAGTGAATTCCGGATATCGATCCACAGGGAATTAAGTTCCTAAATCTACCAAGTACCGTAATTATACTATCCTAAACTTTATCTAGACGATCGAAAGGGATGGGAAAAAGGAAACAAAAAAGAAACAATAAATAAAAACAACGGTCCGCCAGTATAAGCGAGGAATTCCGACGTGTGATGGCTTCTAGGGTAAAATCCACCAATGTACTATCGATAAAGATCTACAAATCCGAATCTATTGTCAATTCTATGTTCGCTAACCCAGACACTAAAATACCCTAACCCCCGTCTCCAGTGTAGTTAGAGTCTACCCACAGGTCCGACGTCTCCGTTCAGAACCTGATATTAAGAGAGCATTTAGGTCAAGTCCTTAAGGGCTACCCGAGGTGCATCACGTCTCCGTTTCCACAACCCGAGCTATGTTTTCCTAAAATCAAACGAGAAATCCTCTCTCGAGTTCATCCCCATTTACAATCAATTCAACTGTTGGCCAAACAATCGAAAGCATTTAATACAGGAAAACATAAACATAATCAAAGAACGACAAATAGATCACAGATCTGGAAATCAAAATCAATATATACAAGGTTTCATTTCCCTAAAAGAAAATGCTCAGTTCATTACAAACATAGCATCCAAATGAAGAACACGAGAAATTATAAACTAAACGTAAAGAAAAGCTTATGAAAAACCCGAGTCGAAACCCTCGTCGAAGCTTCCCGCGAAGAACCGTCGAAAACCGTCAAAAGTCGAAGAAGAAGTCGAAGAAATCCTCCTCGAAGAAGTGAGGGCTTGCTTCTATTTATAGGGGGCTTGCAACAACACAAATATCTTGCCTCAAAAACTGTGCACCGCCTTGCCAGATCGCGATACGGAATGGTGGATCGCGATCTGGTTCTTGATCAAAAAATGCACTGTGAGACCCCCCAGATCGCGATCCGACTTTCTGGATCGCGATCTGGATCTAACCCCAATTTGCTCTCTGTCTGACCCCCCAGATCGCGATCCGGAAAGCTGGATCGCGATCTGGTCTTCTGCGCCAACTTAAAACACTGTTTTGACCCTGTTCTAGCCCGAATTGGACAATTTGACATTTCACAAAAGTTGTAGATCTTGAAGTTAGCTTTCTAAGGCCACTTGAATCAGCTCAATCAGAGGTCGTATGCAAAAGTTATGCTTGAAATACGGAACAGTGCCACACCCGCGATAATGCACTTTTGCACTTGTTTGGTTTGATTTTCGGCTTCGCTTCCAAAATCGTTTCGAATCGGCAAAAATAGCTTCTCTTTACCTAAAATATAAATAAAACAAAAACAACATAATATATACAAATAAAGCCGAAAACTCGGACGAACGAAGACCAAAACTCGAAGAATTGATAAGTGAAAATCATGCAAAATGAACACTTATCACACCCTCAAACTTAGATCTTTACTCGTCCCGAGTAAATCAAAACGAAACAACAACAAAAAGGAAATAAAAACAACAAACTAAACTAGGCCACTAACGTAGGGAATCACGATTGCATTTAGCGTATGCAACAAGCCTTTTAACCCCTGCGTACCCCCAAAGGACGAGTTGTGTCTCGTGAGGGTTTTCAGACAACACACCCACAAAGTTGCCGGATTGGTCAAAGCATTGCAATTAATTTCAAAGATGAAACGAGCTAGATAACCTAAAATCTTAGAATGGCATACGGCTTAAGGTATTCGACTTTCTTACCGACGCAATTAGTTGTTTCTACACCAAAATGAAAGATAGACTCAAGAATCCGTAGTTAAACAATAAACACAATTATCGAGGGTTTTGAGTAGAAATGTGGGTGAAAAGTAAGTTTTGATTCTGAAATTCAAAAACTCGAATTGGGCATAAGTAGGTCTATTTATTCAAATAAAAGAAATGACAACTACAATATTTTTGGTGATTTTCATCACAACTTTTTCCTTTTTTCATTTTTTTTTTTTGAAACGGGCATAATCGTGACTCGTGCAAGGCCCGACACCACTGTGTTATCTCCCTGACCCATTTATCGAACTTTAGTCCAAGAAACCCCCAAGCTCGACAGCTCGGGAGACTTAGGCGACGAGGTGCACCCAACGGGTTAAGCTCGAGTCAGAAAGGCGGGGAAATCAGAGCGTGAATCACAACAATACCACAAATTATTATTTTTCTCTTTTTTTTTTTTTTTTTTTTTTTTTTTTTTTTTTTTTTTTAACATCGAACATAAAATAAAAGCGTAAAGACCATTGATAGAACTTTTAGCCAACAACTGGAAATTGTGAACACATAATTCAATTCTAACTCGCCCCCCAAACCTCAGACTATTATACCCCTCAGAAAAGTGCGCTCAAGCTTAATCGGAAAGGATTCGAAAGGCTATCCACACAAGTTGCAAAAACGCAGTCGGAAGGTACATCTATAATTAGCCGGTTATCCATAATTTCAATTTTAAAATTAACTAGCCAGTCTACTAATTCATTAATTGCTTTGCTTCAATAGAATCCGGAAATGCAACTTACACTCGATCCTAAATGAAATGCATGTGACAAACATAACACAATTACGGAAATCGAAATACATAAATGAAACTAAATTATATGATATGCATGCAAAAGACCAAAAAGAAAAAAAAAGCTAAACTCACCCCCAAACTTAAATCATGCATTGCCCTCAATGCGAAAAATAAAAGATAAGAGAAAGAAATATGCCCTGAACAGTCGTGCCGCAGATTGATCAGTGTTCTACGGTTGCGAAAGTGTTCTTTGGTTGCACGGGGTGCCGTGGATTTTGGCACCGAGGGCGTCTTGCCGGAATTGTCTAGACTTCCCGACTTCTTACTCTTCTTTCCTTGGGGACGAGATACCGGCAAAAATTAAGAAAAAAGGGGTGAAATTAAACTTTAAACCAAAAAATGCAAAAATAAAAGAAAACTAAGAAAATAAATGACGAAAAATAAGTAATGGGTTGCCTCCCATTCAGCGCCTGTTTTACAGTCGACGGCTCGACACAATTTGGACGGATTATGTCCAATCCAAAGCCTTGTAGATTGCGCATCCATCCATCAGTCTTGATACATACTTTGCAATCATATCATGGACTAGATTGCAATCTTGTAATGACCATCCCAACCCATGGTACTTTTCGTTTGCTTTGGAAATCAGTCGGTAGGAGACTAGGATGGGTTGCTTGCCTACCGATCTCTCAAACTCGTATACAAGATACTCGAGCTTTGGAGAAAGCTCTACCTCAAATTTGAAACTCGTCTCCTCGCTCACACTCAAATCCGGAGTAGCAATGTGGATAGGATTTTGTTCGTCAAGTCCCTCTACCATCATCTTCATCCCACTCTCATCACACGCAAAAGTATCTACAGAACTGGGATGAATAATTCCCTCAAGGTGTTCAACCTCATCGTTCATACGAAAATCTGTAAATACCTCATTGTGTTCATATAGGATGGTCGGATATGGTTTGTGAATGTGACATCTCTGAAAATTTTCAAAAATATTCGCCAGAAAGTGGAGTTCGTCTTGTAAATAGCACAAGTGCTCATTTGTCTGTGCAATTCCATTTTCTGGGTTCAACCTTCGATGTCTTTCAATATCCTCCAACTCATGTTGAATGTAATCAGCTCTAGATTGAATCTTGCAAAGAGAGAGATCATAAATCGAGGCCATCGATGTATACAAATCTTCTACAAAAAAAAAAAAAAAAAAAATCAAAAGAAAAAAAATGTCTAAAGTAAAGTAAGGATAGTTGATAACGATATTAGTAAACTCAAGATTAACTAATTCCCCGGCAACGGCGCCAAAAACTTGATACGCGTAAAACCTACGTATAAATAACCGCAAGTGTACAGTATCGCGTTTTGCAGAATAGTGAATTCCGGATATCGATCCACAGGGAATTAAGTTCCTAAATCTACCAAGTACCGTAATTATACTATCCTAAACTTTATCTAGACGATCGAAAGGGATGGGAAAAAGGAAACAAAAAAGAAACAATAAATAAAAACAACGGTCCGCCAGTATAAGCGAGGAATTCCGACGTGTGATGGCTTCTAGGGTAAAATCCACCAATGTACTATCGATAAAGATCTACAAATCCGAATCTATTGTCAATTCTATGTTCGCTAACCCAGACACTAAAATACCCTAACCCCCGTCTCCAGTGTAGTTAGAGTCTACCCACAGGTCCGACGTCTCCGTTCAGAACCTGATATTAAGAGAGCATTTAGGTCAAGTCCTTAAGGGCTACCCGAGGTGCATCACGTCTCCGTTTCCACAACCCGAGCTATGTTTTCCTAAAATCAAACGAGAAATCCTCTCTCGAGTTCATCCCCATTTACAATCAATTCAACTGTTGGCCAAACAATCGAAAGCATTTAATACAGGAAAACATAAACATAATCAAAGAACGACAAATAGATCACAGATCTGGAAATCAAAATCAATATATACAAGGTTTCATTTCCCTAAAAGAAAATGCTCAGTTCATTACAAACATAGCATCCAAATGAAGAACACGAGAAATTATAAACTAAACGTAAAGAAAAGCTTATGAAAAACCCGAGTCGAAACCCTCGTCGAAGCTTCCCGCGAAGAACCGTCGAAAACCGTCAAAAGTCGAAGAAGAAGTCGAAGAAATCCTCCTCGAAGAAGTGAGGGCTTGCTTCTATTTATAGGGGGCTTGCAAAAACACAAATATCTTGCCTCAAAAACTGTGCACCGCCTTGCCAGATCGCGATACGGAATGGTGGATCGCGATCTGGTTCTTGATCAAAAAATGCACTGTGAGACCCCCCAGATCGCGATCCGACTTTCTGGATCGCGATCTGGATCTAACCCCAATTTGCTCTCTGTCTGACCCCCCAGATCGCGATCCGGAAAGCTGGATCGCGATCTGGTCTTCTGCGCCAACTTAAAACACTGTTTTGACCCTGTTCTAGCCCGAATTGGACAATTTGACATTTCACAAAAGTTGTAGATCTTGAAGTTAGCTTTCTAAGGCCACTTGAATCAGCTCAATCAGAGGTCGTATGCAAAAGTTATGCTTGAAATACGGAACAGTGCCACACCCGCGATAATGCACTTTTGCACTTGTTTGGTTTGATTTTCGGCTTCGCTTCCAAAATCGTTTCGAATCGGCAAAAATAGCTTCTCTTTACCTAAAATATAAATAAAACAAAAACAACATAATATATACAAATAAAGCCGAAAACTCGGACGAACGAAGACCAAAACTCGAAGAATTGATAAGTGAAAATCATGCAAAATGAACACTTATCACTGCCCCTGTAAATGAGTACACGATGACCATCTTGATTAATTGTTGTTGCCTTTTGAAACGCGTAGACTTTGGTTTTGCGGTCTTCGGCATCTTCTTTAAACAGGGCTACAATGCAAATGTTGTGACATTCACCACTCTACTAAAAGGGCTCTTTCTAGATGGTAAGGTGGCCGATGCGGAAAAATTGTTTAAGCAGCTTTTGAGTTCGAGACTTTGTGAGCCTGATGATTTTACAATTGTCACTGTGGTAAACGGGCTCTGCAAAAATGGACATGTTCTTGCTGCGCATGATTTGCTTTTGTTATTGGAAAAGACTATCTATAAACCCAATGTTATGGCTTATAATGCGGTAATTGATGGCTTATGCAAGTGCCGAATGGTGGATAATGCACTTGAGCTCCAATCTAGAATGATTGATAAGGGCATTTCGCCCACCGTTGTCACATATGGCTCGATGATTCAGGGCTTGTGCGATTTCGGTAGATGGAAAGAGGTGAAACACTTACTAAATGAAATGGTGGATCACAAGATTTCGTTAGATGTTGTTACTTTTAGTATATTGGTGGACGCTTTTTGCAAAGAAGGAAATATTAAAGAGGCTGAGGATATTTTGGAAATTATGAAACAACAAAATATTAGTCCCGATATTTTCACTTACACTGCACTGATAGATGGGTATTGTTTGCAAGGGAAAATGGATAAAGCGAAAGAGGTATTTGATTCCATGGCGAGCAAGGGGATTAAGCCATCTATTATGAGCTACGGCACTTTAATAAACGGATATTGCAAGAAGAGAAAAGTGGATGAAGCTTGGCGTCTTTTTCTTGAAGTTTCTTCTGAAGGCTTAGAGCACACGACAGTTACTTATAATACCATGATACATGGATTACTTAGTGAAGGCAGATTTGCAGATGGATGGAAACTTTTCAACGATATGGAAGCTCGGCACGTACATCCTAATTTATGTACTCACAATATTTTGTTGGATGGCTTGTGCAAGACTCATCAGATTGCCGACGCATTTTCGTTTCTGAAGACGATGGAAGATAAAGGTTTAAATCCTGATATAATCACATACGGTATCTTGATTAATGGTTTGTGCAAAGATGGGAAAATTGAAGATGCAAAGAAGCTTTTAAACGAACTTCCGACCAAAGGGTTGCAACCTAATAATAAAATATATGGTGCCATTTTTGGTTCGTTGTGTGATGAAGGATTTATAGACGAGGCAAAAGATGTGCTTATAAAAATGGAGAGAAGTGGTTGCGCACCGGATAGCATGACATACAACATCATTATCCAGGGTTTGCTAAAGAAGAAAGAGTTTGACAAGGCAATCCCATTCTTAGAGGAAATGCACAAAAAGGGGTTCTTAGCCAACGCAACTACTTCGTCGATGTTAATTAATCACTTGCAAGGATATAAAAACGATGACGTTCTTTTAGAAATGATGAAGAAAGTTGTGCCGAAAATGTAAATTTTTTTTTTTTCAGCTTGTCGAGTTTAATTAGTTTTTGGTGTGTCGAAAATGGCTTGTTGATTTGTCGCTTCTCATACAAATTCCATACATTGCATCGATTAGTTTGCGTATTAAAGATTCAGATTATAAAAATTCCAATCAAATTGTTCAGATTAATTAATAAATCATAATCATTCCAATCAAATTGTTCAGATTAATTAATAAATCATAATCAAATATCTGTGAATTACAATATATAGACCATATTCCATGAAGGAAAAAAATCAATAATTGTCAGCAGTTGCATTTTTACAGAAACACACACACACACCACAACACATCAAAATGACATTATATAACTATAACTGCCCTATATAAAGATTTACTAACATGAACAATAGAAACAAAAAAAAAAAAAAAAAAACGAATTTGAATCGCGATAAACCTACATTGCAATTTCGTTTTCCTCACCAATACACACACACACACACACACACGAAGCAAAAAGCTTATCCAAATCATTAATTTACCTTAATTAAAGTTGCACATCTCTATCATATATCCAGCTAAACGGGACCCGCTGTGCTTGCTTAGCTCGTCCAAGAGCTCTCTCCTCCAACCTTCTGATCCTCCGTGGCAGTCCACAGACGTAATCCTGCGCCTTCGCCCCGTCAGAAGACAATCCCGTTAAACTCTCCACTTTCCATCGACCAACTAAATGTTCTAGAATATCCGCATAGTCTTTAGCTGTGTATACACCGAGTCTTTGAGCCACAGACGAAAAGTGATCGAAAAGATTATCATCACGCCCATCGTACATTAAGTGGGCCGGCATTGATATTTTCTTTCTCATCATATCGGCAAAAGAAATCACGGTTTCATTTGGGTCGATTTCGAATAATTTTTCGACTATTTTAGTGTATGCAGTTTCATGTCGTTTTTCGTTGGAAGCTATTGTACTGCATATTTGAGCAAGATTTATGTCACCGTGCTCCTCGCCAGCCTGGCGGAGTTTCCATGGGAGACGAAGGTAGCTCTTTCTTGGAATGATGTGTAGATGAATCCGAGGTATCGGTTGTTTTCTGTTCTTGGATCCTGAAAAAAAGTATTTTTGAAAAAAAACGTAAGAGTTTGAAAGGACTATTTTAACTTCGATTTCAAGTGCAGAGCAAATCAATACTTCGAACATCAAAGAATTTTTAATGTGAGAATTACAGATCCTTCTTTGAGCTCTAGCCTCAAGTCTAAACCAAAACCTTGCTATTGATTGTGAATTAACATTTTCGGAAAAAATCAAATTTTTTCGCGCAAGTGAAAAACTAACTGCAATTCGTTTCAAAAAGTAAAAATCGAAAATCGGAATTTTGAATTTCATATACTACGCTATTTGAAGGATAACAAGTAACATAATAGGTTCTTGAGAAGTGGTTGAGGGTCACGGCTAAGGCTGGATATAAGACGGATCGGATTGTAATTCGCATTTTTTCGGAAAAATCCTTTTTTTTTTTCATCTAAATGTCTTCTGAAAACCTTAATCAACGTGTATATATATATATATGCTCCCTCTCCCGATAGGCAACCTTGGATTTTGGACTTTTCATCTTTTTATTGTCATTGAAGAAATCAGGTATAAACTACTTCTAAAAGGCATAAGATGTCTTAGATTCGACTATGAACAAATGAGAAGAATAGGGGAGAAATCGTAGACGAGCAACTCTTTGTTGTTTTTATATTGTTTTCATATCTTAAAGAATACAAAATTTATTGTGTTTTTCTTGTTTCTATATCTCCATTGTTTTTATATCGTTTTCATATGTTAAAGAATACAAAATTTTGGCAAAAAGGTTAGTTGTTGTCCACAACAGGGATTAAGAATAATGATAAAATTGATTTTGTTTAGACTGGATTAAATATATTTTATTTTTCTTCGTCTTTTTTTCTCTCTTTATCTCTGAAGCATGGCATAATATGCATATTCACGATTGGATACTGCTAGAGTTTATATATATAGTAGTAATGGTTCTTCCAATGCGAGCAAATTCGGTTGATTAGAGTGTTTATGTATAGGTTTACATGGAAATTGATAAACTATTTAGCGGACATATTGTTTTGTGTGAGTAATACATGCTCTTTTGGGTATACAATTGACTATGCAAACAAGATTTTCTTTCTCAAGATTATTTTACGTCTTTACCAGATTTGGCTTTGCATCTTTGATGATGCCAACACACTCACTAAGATGTGTTTTGTGTGCTAAATCAGAACACAAATGAATGACCTAAGTTCCTTTTCATACTACTCTTCTTACCTTTTTATACTACTCCACTTACTTAGTAGCGGACGGTAGTGGTCAAACAATTACTACTATTGATTCTCCGGAACACTCCAAAGAATTTCTAGAAATATCTACATTCGAGAAGCTTCTAGCTACTCTCTTGAACATTTCAAAATCTTTACAAAAACATCATGTGCAAGTGGGTCTACTTGGGCCATTTCTCGGCTTAAGTAATGGGCTTGCCTTATTGTATCATAAAAACTATTGTCATCAAGAAAATATGCGAAGTGTTTGTGCTCATAATAGTTCTCCTTCTCCCCCTTTACCGTGTTGGTAGTAGCTTAACCAAATTTGTTTTACATCTATAATTTTATTTTTTTCCATCAAGCTATCTTTTCCTCTTATTATGTTTTCCTTGGGTTCTCTTTATTAGGAGTTTAGTGCAATTAGTACTCTTGTATTGTATCGAATTGCAAAACAACTATTCTTTGTTATTTTAGTACCGTTGGTCAGGGGTTGTGTGCTAACAAAAATTTGAATCATAAATAATACAGATAGGGGTACTAATTGCAATAAACACTTTTTATTAAAATAAACTTAGAGGGAAGGTAATGAATAAACAATTACTTAGTTGCAAAATTAAAGAGTCAATAAAAATACTTTGTAATTATACTATTTTGAAGGGGTCTAGATGTAAGTAGCCAATTATAACCATTAAACAACAGACTCCACCTTTTTCATTTCATTTTGGACTGCAGTAGAATTTTCTTCACAAAAAATCGCTTTGAGAAGATGAGGATTTCTGCCAATAGCGCCTCCCAATTCGAAGAGCAATTGCTGCTAAATCTTCTCCTAATTATGGTATTTTTGCTGATCCGTTCTCTTTATTTTGTTCAAATTTTCATAGCAAAGATAGACTTTTTTCACCTAATTTCAAAAGAGATTTGAATTGTGAAAGTGAAGTAGATGAAGCTATTTTATTGTTTCGCAAAATGGTGAGAATGCGGCCGCAGCCCCCCATTTTTGAATTCACCAAACAATTGAAAGTTATTGTCAATATGAAACAATACTCGGTTGCCCTCAAACTGTTCGACGAAATGCGTGAACTGGGTGCCCCTGTAAATGAGTACACAATGACCATCTTGATTAATTTTTGCTGCAATTTGAAGCGTGTAGACGTTGGTTTTGCTGTCTTCGGCATCATCCTTAAACACGGTTACGAGGCAAATGTTACGACATTCACCACTCTCTTAAAAGGGCTCTTTTTAGATGATAAAGTGGCCGATGCGGAAAAATTGTTCAAGAAGATTTTGACTTTGAAACTTTGTGAGCCGAACGATGTTACGATTCTTACTGCGATAGATGGGCTCTGCAAAGCTGGACGTGTTCATACTGCCCATGATTTGCTTTTGTTATTGGAAAAGACGATCTATAAGCCCAATGTTAAGGCTTATAATGCAGTAATTAATGGCTTATGTAAAGGCGGAATGGTGGATGATGCTCTCCAGCTCAAATCTAGAATGATTGACGAGGGACTTTCGGCCACTGTTGTAACATATACGTCGATGATTCAGGGCTTGTGCGATTTCGGTAGATGGAAAGAGGTCAAAGACTTATTAAATGAAATGGTCAATAACAAGATTTCCTTAAATGTTGTTACTTTTAGTATGTTGGTGGACGCGTTTTGCAAGGAAGGAAATGTTAAAGAGGCTGAAGATGTTTTGGAAATTATGAAGCAACAAAACATTCGTCCTAATATTTTCACGTACTCTGCGTTGATAGACGGATACTGTTTGCAAGGGAAAATGGATAAAGCGAAAGAAGTATTTGATTCTATAACAGGCAACGGCCTTAAGCCATGCATTGTCGCCTATAACTCTTTAATCAACGGGTATTGCAAGAATGGTAAAGTGGATGAAGCTTGGCGTCTTTTTCTCGAAGCTTCTTCTAAAGGTTTAGAGTACCTTGATACAATTACCTATACCACCATGATACATGGATTACTAAGTCAAGGTAGAAACGCTGATGGATGGAAACTTTATAAAGATATGGAAGCTCGGCAAGTAAATCCTAATTTACGTACTTACAATACTTTGTTGGAAGGCTTGTGCAAGACTCGTCAGATTTCTGAAGCGTTTTCATTTCTAAAGATGATAGAAGACAAAGGAGTAAGTCCTAATATAGTCACATACGGTATCCTGATTAATGGTTTGTGCAAAGATGGGAAACTTGAAGATGCGAAAAAGCTTTTAAACGAACTTCCTTCCAAGGGGTTGGAACCTGATAATCACATATATAATGTCATTATTGGTTCACTTTGTGAAGAAGGGTTCGTCGACGAGGCAAAAGATTTGCTTATAAAAATGGAGAGAAGTGGTTGCGCACCGAATAGCATGTCATACAACATCATTATTCATTGCTTGTTGAAGAAGAAAAAGTTGGACAAGGCAATACCATTCTTAGAGGAAATGCACAAAAAAGGATTCTTTGCCGACGCATCTACTTCGTCCATGTTAATTAATCACCTGCAAGGGTCCAAGAAAGATGATGTTCTTTTAGAAATGATGAAGAAAGTTGTTCCGAAAATATAAATTATTTATTTTCGGCTTGTCGAGTTTAATTAGGTTTTTGGAATGTTGAAAATGACTTGTTGTATTATGTAACCTATGGTGGATGTCTATAGGAGTTACAAAATTATTAGTGTATGTAATTAGAGGTGATAATGGTGGATGTTAAGGCTATTCATTCCCTTGTAACTCATGACCTTTTGAATGGTCTTCTTATACTATAAAAGGGAGACCATTATATGGAGTTGTAATACACTTGAATAAGAATACAATACATATACACACACACTTGCTCTCTTCTTGTCTTTCCATTGTTTTGTAGGTCGTTATTGATTTTTCTTTTCTTCTTGAATTTCTATTTGGGTTTCTGCATTGTCGTCCCAATGATATTCGTGTTTCATGTTTTTGTGATTGTGGTTGGCCGGTTGTCGACTCATTTTTGTATTCGTTTGCTTATGCCTCGTTTGGTTACCAAAATAAGATCAGTCAAGATAAGATTAAATAGTCTATTGAAAACCCAATTATTTTATTGGATCCTGAAATGCCCAACGAAAAAGTTTCCTAAAATGCAAGATAACATAATATTTGCATGTCAACCCGGTAAGTTATTGGAGATATCAAACAGCAAACAAAATCCACATATTTAGTTAATAATGGCTAATCTCCCCAACCAAACGAGGCAATAATATATTCATCAATTATCCTAAACAAAATGTGTATTTTTTCGGGAAAATTACAATATTTTTGACTCTTTTGAGAAATATTCTTTAAACAATTGAAATATTGTTTAAAAAAAATAAAATATTGCTTTCTAAATCAAGATTTTCAGAATTCAAATGAAAATATTGTTTCAAGATAAAATAAAAATTCGATCAGAATAGGCGGGAAAAGAAACCTCCATTCCAATCTTCACTCTTATTTAATAATCTAAAATTCATAAATTGTTTCAAAATATTTTTAGAAGTATTGTCTCAAAAAATAATACAATGTTTTAAAACCGGAATTTCTTGAATCCGAATGAAAATTATTGTTTTAAATAAAATAAAAATCAGATCGTAATACACAGAGTAAGAAAACTCTGTTCCAATTCAGAAATATTTAAAAAAAAATCGTAATACTGTCTAAAAAAAGGAATATAGTGTTTTAAAATTGGCATTTTTGGAAATTGAATGAAAATATTATTTTAAAATAAAATAAAAATTCGATCCAACTAGGCCTGATAAGAAAACTTCGTTCCAAATTTCACCCATATTGAATCATTTAAAACTCGATATATTGTTTCAAAAGTGGAATTTTTGGAATTGACTAGAGGTGAAAATTGGAATAATGATTTATAATTCCCCAATTCCTATCGTGTTTTTTTTTTTGGTTTGAAACGATATTATTTAATCGAATTCGAAAAATGCCGATTTTGAAACAATATTTTAAATTTTAGACTATATTTTGATTTAAAAAAAAATTCGAAAATATCTTGAAACAATTATCCAGTTGACTTTTTGAGAATTTACGTGATTTCGATTTTGTATTAAATTTTAATTAAAAATAATAATTATGAAAAATCAGTTTTACAAGATGCAATGCGTATTGTTAAAACTTTAAAGTCCATTTTCATGCAGTGTTGTAAATTGAAGGCATGTGAGAGGCACATGCCATATTTCATCCAATTTAACTGCAGAAATAAACGGCGAACCAATTCTGTCAAAAAATGACATGATTAAGGACTAATACTGTAACTCCGAAATATTTAGGGACATTTGAGAAAGTGGGTAAAATAAGACGAACAATGTAATTTTCCTTTATTTTTCAGTTCACTCTTTTGTTTCCTTACACTTGGAATAAATCTGAATTTCTCACTTTACTATTTCCTTTCATACAAAAAACCAAAAAGCCAACCACAAAGCTTCAACATACCCTATTCCCTCCTCTACCTTTGAAAACTGTACTGATTCTCCTGACCTTTATGATTCCGACTCACTTTCACTTGAATTTTCTTCTAAGTTTTGCACATAAATGAAAGTTGCTCTATCCTTATCATTCCCAGCTCTTTGGCCATTTCAGGAATCTCTTTCATAGACATTTTGTCTACTTAACAATAGTCAAAATAAGCAATATCTCCAGCTAAATAGTAGACCCTACTTAAGTTCAAAACTTACCCGAATGATACATTTTTATGGTGAAAAATTCAGAGTTCCAAGCAAACTTTACAAATTAAAAATACCAGACTCAACTTTACATATCTCTTTTCATCCAAAAAAACTCATAAAGAATAAAATGTGGTCCACAAAATTGGAACATGACTCATGAGTAAAACCAGTGTTCTAAAAATCGGCCGAGGCGGCGGATTAATCGGTCTCCGAGGCGGAGGCGGTCCAAAACCTTTACGATTTTAGTGTAAAGGTTTGAAATATCGGTTTTTTGCCTGTGAGGCGGTCCGAGGCGCTCCGAGGCGGGTTGAGGCGGTCTGAGGCAGTCAAACCTTTAATGTTTTCACGAAATTGTACCTTACAATTCGTGGATTTTTCCACGAAATATAATGAAATGTTTCGTGAAATTCAGTATGAAATCACTAATTGATTTGTTTACTAATTAACCAATTTATTTCAGGCACTCAAATTGACCTAAAAATTCAAATACAAATACAAATTGAACTAGAATTCAAATACAAATACAAATTCAACTAGATTTCAGATACAACTACAAATTGATCTAAAATTCAAATACAATACAAATTGAACTAGAATTCAAATAGAACTACAAATTGAACTACCGACCAAACTTTAATTGTACGTACAAGAGTAGTCGGGGTTTGTACATTTTGAGTAAGTGCCTCAGGTTTTTAGCTCTATGGTGTACCCATGCCGGATGGATTGGTGGTAGAGGACTATTCGCGACCAAATTAACAAACATGGAATGATTGTTGTGCAATGTCACAACAATCATACATGATAAGTGACCACTGCCAAACATAGGAAGGTAAGTCATACTCCCTACTTGAGTCAAAAGTACCACTAATGCACTGTATCTGGTAGCAATGGCCAATCCCATTTCATTCATGTCCATCCAATAAGCTTGTGGACAAGGCCCTGAGTTCCAGTCACACTTGCATATGACCTCAACGTATCCGGTACTGTCAAACATCGCCGTGTACACATTAGCATGCTCGTATAACTCAATAAACAACTCCCCTCTCACTTGTGGCCATCTTTCTTGATCCCCGTACACGGCTTGAGTAAAGCACCGGTACCCACAGTTGCCATCCGCCATCACGTTAACATAATCTTGAATAAGACGAACCATAAATCGGGGCACGAAAGAATAAAAGTCGATTCTTTCATGTGCATGTATTGTAGGGGCAGCAGATTTTTGTGTGGGAATACGAGAACCACGACCTTTCATCTTCGATTGAAGTATTCCATCAGTGCTTCTCTCAACCTTTGCTTTAGGAATCTTTGCACCAGATGAGGTTTGGCGACCCTTGGAACCACAAGACAACTTAATTGTCTCCTCATCAATATGATACTGCCATCCGGAAGGGTCTCTCTTTGTCGAGTTATTCTTTGGTCGTCCTTTGGTCTTAACAAATGATGGCTCGGACAGATGCGACGTAGACGGATAAACGATGCCAGCAATGAGGCCACGGCATTTATCTTACTCGTGTAATTCATCTTCTTCAAATTGCAATTCAGGTCATCAATCTGTCTATATACAATCTCCTTGCGTTTTACTTGATACTCAGGTAACTCCGAAGGCTCAACTGTCATGGTACTCCATAATGGATGCAAGTCTGAAATGACGAACGTGTCATTATCTTCCATTTTCTACACAATTTTGCACGCGCATGGGAGCCCATGAATATTCCAAAGATAGTGTGTGCAAATACTCGAATCTTGCATCGCCGGGGACTCCATCTCTTGATCCAATTTCTCTAATGCCAGATGCGTAACATAACAAATCAAACCCTGAAAACACGGCCATGCTGCAGTATGCTTCCTTATCTTGGATGATAATGAAAAATCGCACTTCAGCTGACTAATTTGGATATAAACTTGGTCCCGAAGTTTGCCTTGCACGTTATCCAGACCTCCGGTCGAAGCATTTAACCAACCCTTCGCAAAAGAATGAGCACTCACCACCCTATCCAATTACAACAACAATCAAAGCATACAAAGACAATCAAATTACAAAATAAATATTATTTTCATATAATATATTTTATCATTTAAATAACTAAAACATGTAATACGTGTTGGTGCTCGTGTTGCCAAAATGATACACATTGCGAGTATAGGCTCGAACAAACTTCTCCTTGTATATCAACCACGTATCATTCAAATACTGTATCAGTCTAGGATACCCCCTGCATACCGTCCAACAATTTCATTGTACTTGTAATGATACTCTTCTTCGTTTTATGATTTCACCAGCTTAGCCCACAGCCCACGTCGAAATATTAGACCTTGGTCATTGTTGCCTCTCATAAATTTCGTCGCATTTGCCTCAACATTTCTGTTTATATGGAATATACACAACATATGATACGAAAATGGGAAGACATTTGGCAGTGCTTTCAAAAGACCCAACTCCATGTCTGTCAAGATCGCATTAGGTTCGACACCATCTAGCAACTCTTTCAAACAATTCAAAGTCCACTCATAGGTATCTGCATCTTCATGCGACATAAATGCAACAACAATTGTAAAATTCCTCCCAACTGGAGTTATCCCAATTATTGCCAAAAGAGGCATAGCATACCTACAACAATGTTGTTTTTACATATTTAAACAATACAATACATTAAAACACAATAATCATAATTTAAACAATCGTAATTTTTACTTACTTATTGGTTTTGTATGTGCAGTCCATCAATATAACATACGGGAACAGCCGTAGTAACTTAATAGATTCGGGACATGCAAACATAATATATGTAATCGTGTTGCTCGTTTCACTATCGACGCGATGCCAATATCGATACTCGCCTTGTTGAAAGTTATGCATCATAAAATGAATAACAGTCATGCCCTCCATTTCCTCAGATTTAATCTTGGCCACCACATTGTAAACATGCTTCATAGAGGTTTGTATCGTCGGATCATCTTTCCTCAATCTATCCATGATTAGCATTGGCTTCACGTGCGAATTTCGCAATTCTTTAATTCTTGCTTTCTGTTGTGGAGTTATACGACTAGTCGTACCTTGTCCGTGAGGAAACAAAGCCGGACGATGAGTATGCCTGCCATCGCTGACAGTCAACCGCCATAATTCATCAAACCTTGACTTTTTGCCAATCAATTTGAACGGACAACCACATTTTTTTGTTCCAGTGTTTCTAGGATCTTCCACATCGATATTCGTTTGTCGGCCATGTCCGTATTTGTCACACGTCAAGTACTGTGCATTCTCCCTTCTAGACTGACAAATCAAACGGTGACAATGACTATCTGCAGTTGCTTTGGCCCACTTGATTAGTTCTTCCTTACTATTGAACACAATATCAACTTGGAGGAAGTGAGAGAAATCTTCATATTCATTTTGATCCAAAACCGATGGATCAAAATACAAATTGTCTTCATATGGCTGTGTAAATAAAAAAAAGTTAGATACTTGCAAAAAAAAATAATAATAATTACTAGGTATTTCGTGTAAAAGTACACGAAATTAATGTATACATTTCATGTAGTAATGCACAAAATGAATAACAAAACAGTTTACTGCTGTTTCGTGTGATTTTACACGAAATAAGAGGTATAATTTCGTAGTATTGTATACGAAATGACTGGAAAACACGAATATGGTGTTAATTTCGTGCAAAACACCACGAAACGACTTGAATAATTTCGTGATATTCTACACGAAACGACTGAAAATCGAAAAAAAATCACACTAAAACGTAATTTTTTACCTCATTTACGGGATCGATGTTGGCCATCTTGATAATCGTTGGATTTTAACTGATTTCTACGAAAACAAATCACGATCTACAAAAGTCGAAATATTTGGAGGTTGAGAGGATTTTGTAAAAGGTTAAAGTGTTTTTTGACAAATGAATTATTTCGCACTGTAGCTGGAAAAAACCGCACTATGAATAGTAAACCCCATGGAGTTTTAAGTGACCAGTGCAATGAATTACTAAGTCCAGGTATGATCGTGCAATTATTATTTTTGTTTGGAGGACAAAGCGTAAAGCGGCCAACATACGGAGGTAAAGCGCACTTATAATACATAACCTCTATTATTATAGTAGAGGTCTAGGGTTTGAATCATGCCCCTCTCCCTACCTCCCCAATTTGCAACAGGGTTTGAATTTCTAAATAAATAAAATAAAATAAGGGGATGATTAAAACAAATTCCAATTTTTTCTCACTCTAATACCAAAAAAAATAAAAATTGAATTATAAATAGGTAATGACATAAATACCCTTAATGAAAATAAATACCATACAAATATTAAAAATCTCATTTTTCTTCCTTCGATACCAAACACACAAAACCCTTCAAACCCATCTTCGTCTTCACAAATCCCTCAACCTCTTCCTTCTTCTTCCTCACAACAAACCCTTCTAAAAAATCTCAAAACTAAAGAAATTAAAACCTCACACAACTTGTAAAATGGAGTCAAATGACAACGAAATGATAGTTTACGACTAAGGAGAACACATTAAGGTAAGTATCGTTGTCTTTTTTGAGCTTTGAAGTCGATTTTGAAGGTTTAATTTTTTTTTTAAACCCGCCGGCAATTTTGGACACATACATGTCGATTATTTGGTCAATTTTCGACACCAAAAATATACTTAGAAAAAAAAACAAATTTCGACACATACCTGTCGAAATTCCTCTGAATTTCAACAGGTATGTATCAGAAAACACTGCAATTCTTTTTTCTTTGGAACAAGGAGGACCAAAAGTGAAATCGGGCCAAACATGAGGGACCAAAAGTGTAATTCTCGCTACTAAAGAAAGTCTTCCATTTCACGAGGGAGTATTGTCTAAGTCAGCACATCAAACAACAGACTCTCTGTCTCTGCCTTTTCATTTCACTAGAATTTCTTCACAAAAATCGCTTTAAGAAGATGAGGATTTATGGAAGAGCGGCTATTCGCAGAGCAATTTCTGCTAAATGTTCTACTTATTACGGTATTTTTGCTGATCGGCTCTCTTTCTTTTCTTCAAATTTTCATAGCGTACGCCACAAAGATAGACTTTTTTCACCTAACCTCAGAAGAGATTTGAGCTGTGAAAATGAATTAGATGAAGCTATTTTCTTGTTTCGCAAAATGGTGAGAATGCGGCCGCAGCCCCCCGTTTTTGAATTTACCAAACAATTGCAAGTTATTGTCAATTTGAAGCAATACTCTGTTGCCCTTCAACTGTTCGACGAAATGCGTCAATCAGCTGCCCCTGTAAATGAGTACACGATGACCATCTTGATTAATTGTTGTTGCCTTTTGAAACGTGTAGACGTTGGTTTTGCTGTGTTCGGCATCTTCTTTAAACAGGGCTACAATGCAAATGTTGTGACATTCACCACTCTTCTAAAAGGGCTCTTTTTAGATGGTAAGGTGGCCGATGCGGAAAAATTGTTTAAGCAGCTTTTGACTTTGAAACTTTGCGAGCCAAACGATGTTACGATTCTTACTGCGATAGATGGGCTCTGCAAAGCTGGACGTGTTCATACTGCCCATGATTTGCTTTTGTTATTAGAAAAGAGTATCTATAAGCCCAATGTTAAGGCTTATAGTGCGGTAATTGATGGCTTATGCAAGACCGGAACGGTAGATAATGCTCTCCAGCTGAAGTCTAAAATGACTGATAAGGGCATTTCACCTGACGTTGTCACATATAACTCGATGATTCAGGGCTTGTGCGATTTTGGTAGATGGAAAGAGGTGAAGGACTTACTAACTGAAATGGTCAATCGTAAGATTCCTTTAGATGTTGTTACTTTTAATATATTAGTAGACGCATTTTGCAAGGAGGGAAATGTTAAGGAGGCCGAGGATGTTTTGGAAATTATGACGAGACAAAATATTTATCCTAATATTTTCACGTACAATGCATTGATAGATGGGTATTGTTTGCAAGGGAAAATGGATAGAGCGAAAGAAGTGTTTGATTCCATAACGGGCAGCGGCCTTACGCCATGTATTATCAGCTATAGCTCTTTAATCAACGGATATTGCAAGAAGGGTAAAGTGGATGAAGCTTGGCGTCTTTTTCTCGAAGCTTCTTCTAAAGGTTTAGAGTACCTTGATACAATTACCTATAGCACCATGATACATGGATTGTTATGTGAAGGTAGAAACGCTGATGGATGGAAACTTTTCAATGATATGGAAACTCGACAAGTACATCCCGATTTATATACTTGCAATATTTTGTTGGAAGGCTTGTGCAAGACTCATCAGATTGCCGAAGCATTTTCATTTCTACGGGTGATTGAAGACAGAGGAGTAAGTCCTAATATAATTACATATGGTATCCTGATTAATGGTTTATGCAAAGATGGGAAACTTGAAGATGCAAAAAATCTTTTAAACGAACTTCCTTCCAAAGGGTTGCAACCTAATAATAAAATATATGGTGCCATTCTTGGTTCGTTGTGTGATGAAGGATTTATAGACGAGGCAAAAGATTTGCTTATAAAAATGGAGAGAAGTGGTTGCGCACCGGATAGCATGACATACAACATCATTATCCAGGGTTTGCTAAAGAAGAAAGAGTTTGACAAGGCAATCCCATTCTTTGAGGAAATGCACAGAAAGGGATTCTTAGCCGACGCATCTACTTTGTCCATGTTAGTTGATCAGTTGCAAGGATCCAAAAAAAATGATGTTCTTTTAGAAATGATGAAGAAAGTTGTGCCGAAAATGTAAATTATTTAATTTCGGCTTGTCAAGTTTAATTAGTTTTTTGGAATATTGAAAATGACTTGTTGGTCATTATTGATTTTTCTTTTCTTCTTGAATTTCTAATTTCTATTTGGGCTTCTGCATTGTCCTCCCTATGATATTCGTGTTTCATGTTTTTGTGATTGTGGTTGGCTGGTTGTCGACTCATATTTGTATTTGTTTGCTTAGGTCTCGTTTTGTTGCCAAAATAAGATTAGTCAAGAGAAGATTAAATGGCCTAATGAAAACCCAATTATTTTTATCGGACCCTGAAATGTCCAACGAAAAAGCTCCCTAAAATGCAAGATAACATAATTTTTGCATGTCGACCCGATAAGTTATTGGAGATATCAAACATCAATTATCCGAAACAAAATGTGTATTTTTCAGTTCACTCTTTTGTTTCCTTACACTTTAAATAAACCCGAACTTCTCACATTACTATTTTCTTTCATACAAAAAACTAAAAAAAAAGGCAAGCACAAAATGAAAAGAGAATAACAAGAAAAAGAATGCCCAAAGGGCAATATGGACAATATTGATATCAACCTCAACATCAGAGTGCATGGTCATCATCATGCACGCATTCAGTTTCAGAATCACTATCATAGACATTTTATTTACTGAACAATAGTCAAAATAAGCAATATCTACAGCTAAATAGCATACCCTACTTAAGTTAAAAAACTTGCCAGAGTGATACGTTTTTATGGTGAAAATTTTAGAGTTTTAAACAAACTTGGGGTTGTCTAGGGTCCGAGAGGGGTTGTACTTCTCGGACCGAAACGATTGAATCTTGTGCGTAGAAAATATTTAATGAATATTTATAGCCGTTGATTTTAAGTACGATCTAGTATGATCCAATACGAACCTATGAATTTATAAATTAAAGTACGAACATAGTAAAAATAGGTCGTACACACATTGTACTGTGTTTAAATTACTTTATTGCCCTTGTATATACATCAAATCAATTAATTTAAAAGAACCATTAATTCAATTTATTAATAAACGTAAGAAAAACTAAAGTTGTCAAAACTTTTCCCAAATCAAAATTCTCATCCCTAGTCGCCATCGGATACATTTCTTCCTCAATCTCACCGTCACCATCGCCAAACTCAACCTCACCCTCCTAGCATTTAAATTACCTTCTCTTCTATTGACTTTTGAGGTTTGCAGGAATTTGGTTTTCTGCTTATTGCTGATAATTTGAGGGGAAACCTTTCCAACTGCCTAACCCACTCTCTCTCTCTCTTACACACACAAAAAAAAAAAAAAAAAAAAAAAAAAAAACAATATTAACAAACAGTTTTAAGTTAATTCGAACGTGATTTTTTATAATTATTTTTTTGTTCATAGTGCCTCTAATTACTAGGATGTTGTGTGTTTACGTATCACAATTTTATCATATATAAGCGATATTATGTTTATTACCAACCTTGATGTGCTATAAAGTTGCAGATGCAACAGTTGAAGAAAAGCAAGAAGACGATGAAGAGAATGTGCCTTTGATACATTCACTTAAGAGGACAAGAGAGACCAGACAAGGACAGTAGATGCGAAAACCTCAATTTAAAGTTATTTCATAGTTTTTGGTTTGCTGTTGTATATCTTTTCTAATTTTTGGATTTTGTTGGCATTAGTTGGTGGAGAGAGAAAAAATATGAAGAAAAAAATATTACTCA